ATAGACTAGACTATAGACTAGACTATAGACTAGACTATAGACTAGACTATAGACTAGACTATAGACTAGACTATAGACTAGACTATAGACTAGACTATAGACTAGACTATAGACTAGACTATAGACTAGACTATAGACTAGACTATAGACTAGACTATAGACTAGACTATAGACTAGACTATAGACTAGACTATAGACTAGACTATAGACTAGACTATAGACTAGACTATAGACTAGACTATAGACTAGACTATAGACTAGACTATAGACTAGACTAGATTATGGACTAAACTATAGAAAATGTCGCGGGAAAACGGTGTTATTTTTTGATATCAAAATGTACTGAAAAAAGTACTAATGTACAGAATTTTCCATGCCTGCTAGAGATGATAAAAAGGTTAATCGTTTTAATGAAATTTAATAAGATTAAGTTATAAATTGAATTATTTACATAGTTGACATTATGTAAAGAATTGAAATAAAGAACGAAAAATTGCTTTAAAAGCTTTTTATGCGATAAATTTACATACAATTGTAATTGTTTACATATTTGACATGAGGTAAATAATTGTAATATACATACATGCATACATATATGAACCAACTTCATTGAAATGCCTTTTTAATACGAGGTTACATTAAATTTTAATTGTTTACATTGTTGACATCATGTAAAAAATTAAAATTATAGAGTAAAACTAACTTTTTTAAGATTTCTACAAACAATATGGCAAATTAAGCAAAATTTACTTAACTTTACATTGTTGACATGATGTAAACAATGGACATTAAGAGAATAAAGCCACAAATTTAGATTTTTTTAAAAGTCTAAAAAGTAAATAAACTAAAAAAAAATTATAATATACATTGTTGACATTATGAATTCTTTACATAATGTCAACAATGTTATTCAATAAAAATTAAGAAGTAATTATTTTTATAACCTTTTAGAGGTAAATTTACGTATAATTTTAATTGTTTACAATGTTGACATGAGGTAAACAATTGTAATATTCGTAGTGAAATGAAGCAGTTACATTCTATGTCATTTAAATACGAGTTTACCTAAAATTTCAATTGTTGACACGATGTAAACAATTAAAATTATAGCGTAAAACAAATTTTTGATCATTTTTACTAACAATATGGCAAATTAAGCAAAATTTACTTAACTTTACATTGTTGACATGATGTAAACAATTGATATTAAGAGAATAAAGCACAAATTTTGATTTTTTTAAAAAGTCTAAAAGTAAAATAAACGAAAAATTTTATAATTTACATTGTTGACATTATGTAAAGAATTGTATTATTCAATAAAAATGAATAAGTAATTATTTTCATAACTTTTAGAGGTAAATTTACGTAAAATTTTAATTGTTTACATTGTTGACATGAGGTAAACAATTGTAATATTCGTACTGAAATGAATCAGTTACATTCTTATGCCATTTAAATACGAGTTTACATAAAATTTCAATTGTTTACATGTTGACACGATGTAAACAATTAAATTATAGCGTAAAACAAATTTTTGATCATTTTTACTAACAATATGGCAAATTAAGCAAAATTACTTAACTTTACATTGTTGACATGATGTAAACAATGAAATTAAGAGAATAAAACACAAATTTTTCTTTTTTAAAAGTCTTAAAAGTAAAATAAACTAAAAATTTTATAATTTACATTGTTGACATTATGTAAAGAATTGTGTTATTCAATAAAAATGAATAAGTAATTATTTTCATACCTTTTAGGGGTAAATTTACGTAAAATTTTAATTGTTTACGTTGTTGACATGAGGTAAACAATTGTAATACTTAAACAGAAATGATTACTTATATTGTAATGGATTTTAATGTAATTTTACTTGAAATTTCAATTGGTTTACATTGTTGACATGATGTAAACAATTAAAATTATAGCGTAAAACAAATTTTTGATCATTTTTACTAACATTATGGCAATTAAGCAAAATTTACTTAACTTTACATTGTTGACATTATGTAAAGAATTGTGTTATTCAATAAAAATGAATAAGTAATTATGTTCATACCTTTTAGAGGTAAATTTACGTAAAATTTTTAATTGTTTACATTGTTGACATGAGGTAAACAATTGTAATACTCAAACAGAAATGAATTACTTACATTGTAATGGATTTTTAATATAATTTTACTTGAAATTTCAATTGTTTACATGTTGACATGATGTAAACAATTAAAATTATAGCGTAAAACAAAATTTTTGATAATTTTTACTAACATTATGGCAAAGTAGGATAAATTTACTATACTTTACATTGTTGACATGATGTAAACAATTGTAAGTTTTGGGGTAAAATACATATTTTAGTATAAATTTTAAGGAAATTAAGTAAAAATAAACATTTAAATACTTTACATTGTTTACATTCTTTACCCAGTTCATTACTAAACTAATTTCATTTCCTTCACTTTGTTTACACAGCGTAAACAATTTAACACTTTCATTTTAAAATTTGTTCATACTTTGAAGTTTAATTTCAACAACAAAAATTTCCCTTAATTAAATATTTAAATCAAAATTTTTTAATTTCCCATTAACAATTAATGCATTACTTAACACTGTCATTGAGCATATAATGTAAACGACATTTTATATTTAAATCCTAATGAAATTATTTGAAATTTAAATCCCTACCTATACGTATGAGTATTTTTTTTATTTGTCTCTATACTTCTTCATACATTAATCATTACACATCTTTGATGGCCTTAATTGTCAACACATGTTTGTGGTGTTTGGTTGACAGTAGTAATACTTTTCGTACGAAGTTGCATTTAACCCAGTACAAACAAGCACACCTTCTGACAGAAAACATTAAATTTCTTTGTTGTTCTGCTCTGCTACACTTCTGCTTCACAAGCAGAAAAAAGTGATTTTAAATGTTTAATTTCTTGTTCTATTTTTCTAGATATTTTCTGCTAATTGAATGTGCATCTTGGGCGTATAAGTGTTATTAAATAAAGAAGAAAAAACACCGTTAAAAGGAAATGTATTTTGAGGAAAATTCATCAGCATCAAGCATAGAACAGACACCGGCGCTCAAGTTTGCATTAAATTTCTCTCATTTAACTATAATTAAAGCAAATTTGTTAGGAAAAAGTTTTTAATACTCCCTCTCCTTTCTCTTTACATTTAACCTCTTTACATTTAACCGGAGTACAAATAAAGGAACATTTAAAATTGGGTTTAAATTTTGCGAAAAACTAATTATTTTTGTTTAAAATCCGTTCATTGAACATGGGGGAAATGTGAAAGTAACATTTTATTTTACTTTTAAAAATAGTAAGTAGAAATACTACTTTTTTTAAATTGCTCAAAATTAACAAATTTTTAATAGTAAGAGTCTGAAATGTCTTAAGAAATTGAAAAATATAATTTTTATACATTTTAAAATAGTAGTAGAAATACTACTTTTTAAAAAAGTATTAAATCTAGAAGTTTTAAGTATGGAAAATTATTGTCTATCAAATATGCTTTAAGGTTACATAATAATTCATGAACAAATAGTAGTAAATTATCTACTACTTTTTTACAAAAAGTAGTAAATTTGATAACACTATTATTGGAGAATATATTCAGTAGCCTCTATTACTTTAAAATTTAATAAAATTTTCGCATTTTAAGCAATTTCAAAAATAGTAGTAGAAATACTACTTTTTTAAAAAGCATCAAAATCTACAACTTTTAGCATGGAATATAAAGTAAATCCCACATACTTAAAGAAAAAATAGTTTTAATGAAAATTTATTTAAATAGTAGTATATTAGCTACTACTTTTTTACAAAAAGTAACAAATTTGATAAAATTTTTATTGGAATATGTTTAGTAGGATTTACTGATTTCTAATTTCGTAAAATTTTTAAATTTTAAATAATTTCAAAAATAGTAGTAGAAATACTACCTTTTTAAAAAGTATCAAATCTAAAACTTTTATTAAGCAATATAAATGTATATTAAATAAGATTTAAGAAAAATACTTTTTATGTAAATTTTTTTAAAAAAGTATTATATTAGCTACTACTTTTTTACAAAAAGTTGTACATTTGCTAAAATTTTTATTGGTATATGTTTACAGATTTTACAGACTTCTAATCTCGACAAATTTTTTTATTTCAAGCAATTTCAAAAATAGTAGTAGAAATACTACTTTTTTAAAAAGTATTAAATTTGTAAGTTTTAAGTATAGAGTATTATTGTTTATAAAGTATAGTTTAAGAAAAAAATATTTTTTATATAAATTTATCAAAAAAGTAGTAAATTATCTACTACTTTTTACAAAAACTAGTATATTTGCTAAAATTTTTATTGGAATATGTTTACCAGACTTTACAGACTTCTAATCTCTACAACTTGTTTCATTTTAAGCAATTTCAAAAATAGTAGTAGAAATACTACTTTTTAAAAAGTATTAAATTTGCAAGTTTTAAGTATAGGGTGTTATTGTTTATTAAGTATAGTTTAAGAAAAAATATTTTTTATATAATTTTATCAAAAAAGTAGTAAATTATCTACTACTTTTTTACAAAAAGTAGTAAATTTGACGAAATTTTTATTGTAGTATGTTTACTAGACTTTACATAATTCTAATCTCGACAACTTTTTTCATTTTAAGCAATTTCAAAAATAGTAGTAGAAATACTACTTTTTTAAAAAGTATTAAATTTGTAAGTTTTAAGTGTGGAATATTATTGCTTATCAAATTTACTTTAAGAAAAAATATATTTTTTATGAAAATTTAGCAAAAAAGTAGTAAATTATCTACTACTTTTTAACAAAATGTATTAGATTTGCTAATTTTTCTCGTTAAATAAAGTAAATTTGCTTAGAAAGTGTAAAATGTTAAAACATTTTAAACTTTAACTTATATTAAAATAGTAGTAGAAATACTACTTTTTAAATATAGATTTTTGAGAAGGTTTTTTTTTAGAATTCTGCTCACCTTGTTGTGGTTGTGTATAGTTGGCAAATAGAGCTGAACAATTTTCGTAACTATTAATTGCTATACTAGGATATGTTATGCTTGGTGTTATTGTTCCATTTGTTGTTGTTGCTGCTGCTTGTGTTATTGTTGTTTCTAGAGCACTTGCTGTTTGTTGTGGTATTAGAGGGCATTGCAGTTGTTGTGGTGGCATTTAGAAACTCATTTAAGTGGGTCATTGTTGTTACTATCACGTTGCTGTTATGTTGTTCTTGTTGTTTAAAATTATTACTGTTGTCCATAGGTGTTGTTGCTGTCGTTGATGTAGTTGTTGTTACATCTGCAGTTATGTGGGTTAAATTACTATTGTTGTAGGTGGAATTTTGTAAAATTTCAGAGGTCATTTTTGTTGCTATTCTTGACAGTGCCGAAGAGGCTGTAGCTAAAGGTTTTTCATTTATGGACAATGGTGTCAAATTTACACTAGGATCATCATAGCCAACTGCCTCATTTGATTTGCTAACATTGACATCATTATCAGCTGCTGCAGCAGTTTTATTTTGAAAATACATATACAATACTTTGCTAACATTGGAACGTATCGATGTTATTGTGGCTGATAAATTGTTGGCGGCTGTTGTTTCATATTCAGTTTTGCTGCCATAAGCATTTTCATCATAGACATTGTCATCATTATCATCATCACCACTGCCTATAACATCATTATGTTGCGTATTATCATTATCGTTATTGCTGATGTTGTTGCCTGTTTGGGCATTTCTTTTTAAGAGAAATTTCACTGTTGCCGAGGCTGTTGCTCGTAAAATTTTGTCCAGATTTAAATCATCATCGTTCATTTGTTGTTTTGCTGCTGCGGCTGTTGTTGCGATTGAATTCTCGTTAATACCATTGAGGGTGTCTGTTGAAAATGCCATTGTCATGTTGTTGTTATTGTTGTTTGTAACATTTGGATAAATTAAAATGCGAGTTGTGTTTTATTGTTTATTTTTGGTGGGAGGGGGAAGTTGTGGGGAAGAGTTAAAATTAATCCTCTTAGATTTTCAGCATAAAAATAGGTTACGGCTGAAATAGAAAAAATGGAAGTAATTAATTTTAAATAAGTTGTTATAAAATTAAAATAGTAGTAAATAAAAAATTTATATTTTTTAAAAATAGTAATAGAAATATACTACTATTTCAACAAGTTACATTTTTTTACTTTTTTAACAAATATTAATCTTAATAAAATTCTAATTGTAATAGGCAATATTTCTTTACAAAATTGTTGCAAAAAGTAGTAAAAATCTACTACTATTCTACAAAAAGTGGTAATTTGTGAAAAAATTTTATTGCAATATATTTTTATTTATTTGCTGTGTTCAAAAACACCATTTTTGTATTTTTTAAAATAGTAGTAGAAATACTACTTTTTTCAAAAGTTGTAAATTCCAAACATTTTCTTAAAGAATATTAATATTAATAAAATTCTATTTGTAATAGACAATCTTTCTTTATAAAATGTTGCAAAAAGTAGTAAAAATCTACTCCTATTTTACAAAAAATAGTAATATGTGAAAAATGTTTGTTGCAATATATTTTTATTTATTCCCTTATTAAAAAATATAAATTTTTTCTACTTTTAAAAATAGTAGTAGAAATAATACTTTTTTCAAAAGCTGTTAATTCCATACTTTTTCTTAAAGAATATTAATCTTAATAAAATTCTAGTTATAAAAGAAATATTTTTTATTAGAAATTTGCAAAAAGTAGTAAAAAATCTACTACTATTTAACAAAAAGTTTCAATAAGTGAAAAATGTTTGTTGTAATATATTTCTATTTATATCCTGTATTCAAAAATATATATTTTTTTCATTTTTAAAAATAGTAGTAGAAATACTACTTTTTTCAAAAGTTGTAAATTCCATACTTTTTCTTATGGAATATTAATCTTAATGAAATTCTAGTTGTAAAGGAAATATTCTTTATTAGAAATTTGCAAAAAAGTAGTAAAAATCTACTACTATTCTACAAAAAGTATTAATAAATGAAAAATATTTATTTCAATATGTTTGTATTTATTTCCTGTTAACAAAACTATAATTTTTTTCATTTTTAAAAATAGTAGTAGAAATACTACTTTTTTCAAAAGTTGAGAATTTAGTACATTTTCTTTATGAATTTGTTAAAGTGCGTAATGTTTTATATTTTCCCTAAAATTTTAAAAGTTTTATTAAGCTTTTCTAAGTAATTGAACGCTTTTAAACCAGTTTTATTTTATTTTAATTTGAATATATTTAAACAAAAAAACAAAACACCATTTTGCGTCAAACTGAATAAAAGAACAAATTTTGTAAAAAAAAATTTACATCTACCAACAAAAAAATGGCGCTGTGATATTGAAATCTCTGATAAGCTCAATGAAAATATATGAATAAACTAAAAATTCAACAACCACAAAATGTGTGAAGTAGAAAATAAAATGAAAATCTGCATTTAATAATTTTCGCTGGAAGCAGCAAGAAGACATACAAAAAATAGGAACTAGCTTTTTAATAGTGCCTAAAGTTAGGCTATGTTCTGTTGTAAATCAAAAATAAACAAAATCAAATCACACAATTCCTCTCATGGAAAAAGCCCTTCAGCAACAAACAAACACAAAAAAAAACTGAAAAAAATAGATTCATGCAATAAAATTGTCGAGTGATTGTATGTCAGTGCTAGTATGTGCGTGTTTATTTCTTATTTCGTTCAGTTTGCACCCACTTAAAACGCCAAAAGCTTTAGTAGTTTATTTTTATTATTTTTTTCGCCAACTGCAAAAATAGTTACAGCAACAACAATGACTGTCAGCAGGCATGGGAAATTAAAAATTTGAAATAGTACACATGGACTAGACTATAGACTAGACTATAGATTAGACTATAGACTAGACTATAAACTAGACTATAGATTAGACCTATAGACTAGACTATAGATTAGACTACAGACTAGACTATAGACTAGACTATAGACTAGACTATAGACTAGACTATAGACTAGACTATGGACTAGACTATAGACTAGACTATATGACTAGACTATAGACTAGACTATAGACTAGACTATAGACCTAGACTATAGACTAGACTATAGACTAGACTATAGACTAGACTATAGACTAGACTATAGACTAGACTATAGACTAGACTATAGACTAGACTATAGACTAGACTATAGACTAGACTAGACTAGACTATAGACTAGACTAGACTATAGACTAGACTAGACTATAGACTAGACTAGACTAGACTATAGACTAGACTATAGACTAGACTATAGACTAGACTATAGACTAGACTAAGACTAGACTAGACTATAGACTAGACTATAGACTAGACTATAGACTAGACTATAGACTAGACTATAGACTAGACTATAGACTAGACTATAGACTAGACTATAGACTAGACTATAGACTAGACTATAGACTAGACTATAGACTAGACTATAGACTAGACTATAGACTAGACTATGAGACTAGACTATAGACTAGACTATAGACTAGACTATAGACTAGACTATAGGACTAGACTATAGACTAGACTATAGACTAGACTATAGACTAGACTATAGACTAGACTATAGACTAGACTATAGGACTAGACTATAGACTAGACTATAGACTAGACTATAGACTAGACTATAGACTAGACTATAGACTAGACTATAGACTAGACTATAGACTAGACTACTATAGACTAGACTATAGACTAGACTATAGACTAGACTATAGACTAGACTATAGACTAGACTATAGACTAGACTATAGACTAGACTGTAGACTAGACTGTAGACTAGATTATAGACTAGACTATATACTAGACTATAGACTAGACTATAGACTAGACTATAGACTAGACTATAGACTAGACTACAGACTAGACTATAGACTAGACTATAGACTAGACTATAGACTAGACTATAGACTAGACTATAGACTAGACTGTAGACTAGACTATAGACTAGACTGTAGACTAGACTATAGACTAGACTATAGACGAGACTATAGACTAGACTATAGACTAGACTATAGAAAAGACTATAGACTAGACTATAGACTAGACTATAGACTAGACTATAGACTAGACTATAGACTAGACTATAGACTAGACTATAGACTAGACTATAGACTAGACTATAGACCAGACTATAGACTAGACTATAGACTATACTATAGACTATAGACTAGACTATAGACTAGACTATAGACTAGACTATAGACTAGACTATAGACTAGACTATAGACTAGACTATAGACTAGACTATAGACTACACTATAGACTGGACTATAGACTAGACTATAGACTAGACTATAGACTAGACTATAGACTAGACTATAGACTAGACTATAGACTAGACTATAGACTAGACTATAGACTAGACTATAGACTAGACTATAGACTAGACTATAGACTAGACTATAGACTAGACTATAGACTAGACTATAGACTAGACTATAGACTAGACTATAGACTAGACTATAGACTAGACTATAGACTAGACTATAGACTAGACTATAGACTAGACTATAGACTAGACTATAGACTAGACTATAGACTAGACTATAGACTAGACTATAGACTAGACTATAGACTAGACTATAGACTAGACTATAGACTAGACTATAGACTAGACTATAGACTAGACTATAGACTAGACTAATAGACTAGACTATAGACTAGACTATAGACTAGACTATAGACTAGACTATAGACTAGACTATAGACTAGACTATAGGACTAGACTATAGACTAGACTATAGACTAGACTATAGACTAGACTATAGATTAGACTATAGATTATACTATATACTAGACTATAGACTAGACTATAGAATAGACTCTAGACTAGACTATAGACTAGACTATAGACTAGACTAGACGATAGACTAGACTATAGACTTGACTATAGACTTAGACTATAGACTAGACTATAGACTAGACTATAGACTAGACTATAGACTAGACTATAGACTAGACTATAGACTAGACTATAGACAAGACTATAGACTAGACTATAGACTAGACTATAGACTAGACTATAGACTAGACTAGACTATAGACTAGACTATAGACTAGACTATAGACTAGACTATAGACTAGACTTTAGACTAGACTATAGACTAGACTATAGACTAGACTATAGACTAGATTATAGACTAGACTATAGACTAGACTATAGACTAGACTATAGACTAGACTATAAATTAGACTATAGACTAGACTATAGAGTAGACTATAGACTAGACTATAGACTAGACTATAGACTAGATTATAGACTAGACTATAGACTAGACTATAGACTAGAATATAGACTAGACTATTGACTAGACTATAGACTAGACTATAGACTAGACTATAGACTAGACTATAGACTAGGCTATAGACTAGACTCTAGACTAGACTATAGACTAGACTAGACTAGACTATAGACTAGACTATAGACTAGACTCTAGACTAGACTATAGACTAGACTATATAGACTAGACTATAGACTAGACTATAGACTAGACTATAGACTAGACTATAGACTAGACTATAGACTAGACTATAGACTAGACTATAGACTAGACTATAGACTAGACTATAGACTAGACTATAGACTAGACTATAGACTAGACTATAGACTAGACTATAGACTAGACTATAGACTAGACTATAGACTAGACTATAGACTAGACTATAGACTAGACTACTAGACTAGACTATAGACCTAGACTATAGGACTAGACGATAGACTAGACTATAGACTAGACCTATAGACTAGACTATAGACTAGACTATAGGACTAGACTATAGACTAGACTATAGACCTAGACTATAGACTAGACTATAGACTAGACTATAGACTAGACTTAAGACTAGACTATAGACTAGACTATAACGAGACTATAGACTAGACTATAGACCTGAGACTATAGACTAGACTATAGACTAGACTATAGACTAGACTATAGACTAGACTATAGACTAGACTATAGACTAGACTATAAACTAGACTAGACTAGACTATAGACTAGACTATAAACTAAACTTAGACTAG